TGGGTGACCACTCCCCTCTATCTCCAGAAATTTGGGCAACACCCAAGGGCCATTTCTCCTTCCATCATCCTTAGAGAAGCAGAAATAATAAAGACCCTGAAAATCCCTATAGCTCCAGGCCACAGCACATGCCTATTAGATCTCATGGCCTGACTTTCAGTAATCTTTGCCCTATTTGAACTTTGTTAAAGGTTCATGCATATGGACTGCATCTCATGTATGTAATTTAATCTGTGAACTCTGGGACCGGCCTGTGTGCTCAAAGCTCCTGAGCTGACAGCACCATCAGTCATGTCAAGAGATCCAGTGAGAGGCACCAGATTGGGGTGTATGTCTTTAAAATCTGAAAATCTGATTTGTCTGTGTGCTTATTTCCCTGATGTCCCGACACGACTTTTCTGTTTGTGTCACTTTTGTTTCTGTTGGCACAGACCTGCCCTGAGCACATCTTTCCATTATCTTCAATGGTTGCTTTTTAAAAATCATTGGATATACACTTGTGATTCTTTACTTATCATACGTGAGTGTGGAATCCATCTGTTGGATCCACCATGCTGTATCATTATCATTCCCATTTTGTGCTAAAAAGCTGGGATGTGGAAAAGTTAAGAAATATGTCTAGGTCCTCAGTTGGTCAGCAGCACCAGGTCTGTCCCTGAGGCCTGAGTTCTTAACTGGTGCCAGCGCTCTGGGAGCCCAGGCAGAGAAGTATGGCAGCACTCACTTCTGGCCTTTTTAAGGCAGGGTTTCTGAACTTTGGTACTGTTGACCTTTTGGACCTAATATTTTTTTGTTGTGGGGGCTGTTCTGTACACGGTGGATGTTTTGCAGCATCTCTAGTTTCTACTCACTAAATGCCAATGGTAATGCTCTACTTGCTACAATAAAAAATTTTCCCCAGACATTGCCAAATGTCCCTGGCAGGGTGGAAGCAAAAATCCCTCCAGTTGAGAACCACTGTTCTTAGGGAATAAAACCAATAGTCCAGGTGTTGCTCTGTCTCAGGACAAACCAGCCTTGTGTAAACACAGAACAGCCAATGTCTCTCAAAGTCAAAAGCCCCTCCAATTGAGTTAGTATCAAGGGGCTAAAACAGGGCCACCAGTGTTTGAGGTTCTTTTCAGGATTGAAATGGGGTGTCAGGCCTATTAGTATAGTAATAAGAACATTTAGAGCTTTTTTTTGTGTGTGTGTCTATTACTTCAGCAGAAGGCATGATACCAATGACTTTAGAAACTTACATACGTGGCCTGAATAGGGCCTCTGGAGCCTCAAAGGAGCACGGTAGGACCTCAAGTTGATGCAGATCAGGCTTCCAAGGGCTCCTTAGTTGTCTGAAGATCCCCCTACCCAATCTTGCAGCCCATTTTGTCATCTTAGGCCAAGTGAAGTGTCCCAGCAAAAAGGTGACAAAGGACAAACTCTTCCTCTCCTGCCCAACTCATGGTTGAGCTGGAACTGCAGAAAACTGCAGGAAAATTATTCATTCTGGGTTTGCAAAAACACTCCTGGAACTATAATTAGAAACTTCTCTTTGTGCAGATAGCTGGAACCCCCCCCCCCAAACAAAGGTTAACTTGAGATCTGGCACTTTCATTGACTGTTATATAGAACACAGAGTATACATGTTATATAGGTTGCTTCCCTATTACATTCTAGTGCTGTGTAAGCTCTCCACCTATTCCTCAGCATGTGGACTCTTCAAATGGAGTAACTAAACATTTCAAATGCATAACTGAACATGACTTACATTTCCTTATGCATTTTCAGTAGAATAAAATGTACTGAAAATTTCTGAGACAAATAAAAATGGTACTTAATCATAAAATTTAGCTTGACATAGTGAACGATTTACTTCATTTTCATTCTTTTGCTTCATCAGTGCAAATGTTTTTGAAAGTCAGCATTTTGTTTTTAAAGTACCAAAAAAACTCCAGTTGAGTCCCCAAATAGTCATTACACTATTACTGGCAATGGGTTTTTATTTCATCCACACTCCCTGTAAGCAATGGAAACAAAGCCAGCCAGAGACTGGGCCCCACACAGGAAGGGCTATCATTCAAAATATTATCTTCTGTGACATCAGAATGCAACTGTCAGTCTCTTGAGCTCCCTCTTCAGGCCAACTCAGAGTTAAGGCTGCTTTTTGTCCTTATCTCCTGGGAGAATAGGTGCTGGGCTCTTTTCCTATACCAGACTGTTTGACTTGTAAGTCAGTTATTTCATGAATAAGCAGGACTTTGTTTTGTTAATTCCTCAAAGGGTGATAATATATTATATAGGGTTTAACTGTGTCAATGTTGTTAAGGTCCACAGTCATAGAGCTTTGGGCAAAGGCTGAGAACATCTTTTTTTTTTTTTTTTTTTTTTTTGT